ACTGCCTCTGGCTTGGGGTTTCATCTACCACTAAGAAAAGCAGTTAAAATTCGGAAAAACTATCTGAGCTACCTTGGTCAACAGAAAAGAAGCAGGGTTAGTTCAAGAGCAGACTAGCACAGCTTTTGACCCAAGTCCTGGTTAGAGGGCTGGAGAGAGGAGCACGTTCAAAAGTGAGATATAAATTAGGTAAATTTTCACACCCCATTGAGAGAACGACTGGTTCAAGGGACCAGGTAGAGTCCTCATCAGCTTGTAGCTTCCCCGAACTGGCCATCTCCTCAGGCAACACTAATTCCACTTCATGCCTCAAAGCGCTGCACAGCACATTAGACTCACCGATCCCCAAACAAAATGTTTTCTCTTAAAAGCAATTACTGCAGGGACTTGTACTGAAGAGGTCCCTCACGCCTGCCTGTCTAAGGATTCTCCCTCCATGAGCTCCACCACCCTAGCACTGCACGCTGCTCCCAGGTTAGATCTGAAAGGGGAATGCCAGGTAACCATCACTGCCCAGGGCAGGGGTGGCACACGCACACAGAGCCAGCGCTAGCCCTGGCGCGGTCTGCCAGGGTGCCCCAGTGCCCTGCAGGCTGCTGCAAGAGCTTCTGGCAGGGAGGACAGGGGACACCCCCTCTCCCACCGCAAAGGACCATGGGCTGCTGCAGAGGACCAAAACCAGGCATAAATGTCACCTTTCAACCGCTTCTAATCAAATCTGGCTGTGAAAGCAGCAAAGAGAGTCAGACAGAATCTTTGTTAGGTGGTTGAACTCAGAACTATTTGAAACGAGCGCTGGTATACAAGCCAGATACCTTTCAATAGCAAGAGCATAGCCATAATAGATCAGGGATCACTTTACGGGGTGAGTTTTAAATATGTTCTCCATGTTGAATCATATACTCACATACTGAAATGGACAGCACATTTAATGAGTAGCCCAGGTGACTACTGTAGATTTTGATTTAAAACAAGATTGCCAAGACCAAAACTCATTTGCCAAAATGGAAGTCTCTTTGGGTGCTCCCTTTATATCAGTTCAGCTGCCCACCATTACCGAAGCAGAAAAATGTCATATACAGGATATATATTTATATAAACTCACTGACTGGTTTTTTCCATCTATGCTCTGCAGTATAGATGGTCTATATTTGGAGATACTCCAGACCAAAAGGAACGAATATTGCTTTGATCCCATAAGCTGAAACCAAAAAGTTTCTGTTTATATCTGGTCCAAGATTGTTACACGTATATTAGATACATAAATCAAACTTCCCCAAAGTGGCAAACAAGCAACCAAAATTTTACCAAAAATTATCTGGCATAACCAGTTAGATATGTTATTCGTCTGGCAGTCCCATAAATACGTTAGGTGTCTATACCTCACACTTCGTAAGTCCCTTCAGGTAAAACAGGAGGTATTAAATAGCTACAAGACACCATGAAGACACATTTTTTTAATGGAGCGATGCTTTGAGAACTTAATTTTTAATGTCATTAAAATATTTAATCACTTTTAAATTACTTTAGGGTTTTTTTTAGAGCTGGTATACCTAGAGTAGCAGGCAAGGAAAGCAGTGAAGTACATCTGACCTCTCTAGATTTCACATTGTTCGCAAGTGCAAAGATTGAAAAAATACTGAAAAAAGTTTAAATCATGCTGTATGAAGGGATCTGAACTGAATCACTGAGACAATGAATTATAAACAGGTAGACCAGCAATCTATTTAAAAAAAAAAAAAAAAAGAGTAACTGTCCTTACTCACGGATATGATTTGATATTCTGGTTTTCAGAATAAGGTCATAAACCACAGATATTCCACCCACTCCTCCAACGAGGAAAACGCTCAGAGATTGATATGATACTAACAAGAAACAACGTCGAAGCTCCTTTTCCAAGAAAAAAATCAAGCACATGAAAAATGAGTTGCTCCTATTCGGCATGAGCCACTCTGCAAAACCCATTCTCCCTTATTCCAGTCACGGCCAGAGGTCTGAATGGACCGGCAGCAGGGCACTGCGTGTGTGGAGCACTGTGCCTTTTCAGTGCTGACCTCGGTGAACACCACCTACGGGGACACCAGCAGCCATTACTGGTGGTTTCCAGGTAGTCACCGCAGTGGCCAAACTGCCCTTTGCGACTATGTGAGGCAGCCCAGACGTCAACCTTCCACAACTAATGGGTGAGAACGGGTTTTTTACTGAGACGGGATGAGTTGATTAGATAGCTGTTGGGGAGAATAAGACGATGTGGCTTCAAGTCACGCTTACTCTGGCCTATGGGTGGGCTGCTGCCACCCAGAGCGGTCCCGCTGCACTCCCTGACCCGCAGCAACAGGCTTCCTGCCCTTCTCGTGGGCTGGACCCAGCTATTGGACCCGGGGGATGTGGTTCCATGAGCTGACCCAGTGGAAAACTACGTGGGTTTTGCTATTTTTGGCAGGTTAATTTTCCATTAGCCTGCCCTGCCGCTCCATAATCAATTGATATGACTCAAAGGAAGCAGCAAGAACATGTGGCTAAGGGCAAGATGGATTGAGGCCACCCTTTCCATGGGAGCCTGCAGTTACATCGGATTAAATGTAACGTGAAACCAGCGTCTGCACTGGTGGTGGTGAGGCTGCCTCCATGAAATGCATATAGCATAGACCTAAACGGGCTTCCAGCCTGACTCACAGCTTCATGCTCCCGTGCTGCGCGCCTGAGGCTTGACGGGGCTCTGCATGGTTTGAACAGAGGGTCCCGGGCCCACACAAGTCTCACAGGACACAGGACATGCCTTTAGCCCCTCTGCCACGTGCCTTCTCTCTTGTCTTGACTGCCCGAATACCGAGACAAATAAGACAATAGTAGTTCACTCCTGGTATCTACAAGAGCTTCATTTTGTCAACATGAAACTTAGCATGGATGACCTTTTCTTCAGGCAGTGAGACATGGCATAGATAGGAAAGGGCAGCTCACGTGGGTTACGCTCCATCAGTGTGACCCCTGAGACAAACCTAAGTATCAGTTTAGACATAGAAAAGGGACTTCACTGGTTTCTATTTCTGATTACCACCCTTAGAGGGAAATGGTGGTATTTAATTTTTTGGAACAACATAAGTTAATTTTTTTCTATTATATATTGTTACCATGACTGTTTTGTCTACGAATTCTTTCTTGGTCTATAGTTCTTGTGGTGAGCCACAGAACGATTTTGATAGCCTGCTGGATGCCAAATGGAAGTCTATCTGGATTTGGCTAGCTGAAGAGATCTTCACAGTCAACTTTCAACTATCAGTGCAGATGTACACGGTGGCTTCTACAATTTACAGATAACAAAATTATCTGCCAGGGGACTGGTGTGCATGTGTGTCCAGAAGACGGGATGGAAGAGAGATGGGGGTAAAGACTAAACCATTTATGCTTTGTCAGAGAGAATGAGCATTGCTGAAAAAACTAAAATCTCTCTCTCAGACCACGTGGTAGCAAAGTTCCTCTGTTCCACCAGGAGAAACCTGAGGTAGTCATGGCTGGGGACCTTCACCTCTGAGCCGCAGCCCCATCTCTCTAGCAGAAACCAGTTAAAGGCAGCTTTCATAGTGCTGTCAGAGAAGCAGTTGCTGGATTTTGGAGAGGTAAGGCAGAAAGGCTGCCCATTTCTTCTGCTTTTCTAGAAAGACAGCTACAGAGTAGGTTTAGATTTTATCTGTATTCTCTTCCTTCCATAGATAACTTCTGGTTTCTCTCAAAACCAAAATGCAGGCATGGCTTTTTGTTTTGGTTTGTGTTCATTTCTTGTTTGGTTTGTTGAAGTCTTGCTCCTTAAGGCATAGACATGTGGTAAAAATGCACACTGTATGAAGAAAACCTTGTCACAACAGATGTGTTGTGCAAAACTTCAGTGAACTAAACTCCTAATTAGGAAAAATCCTTTAGACTTGTCTGTCATGTAACCAATACTAACTTCTGTTCAGAAAAATCATTTTCCTAGAGTTGAAAAGTAAAAGGCTGCTACTCAAGGTCCAAAACATTCATTTGTAATCCTAATTCAGTGAGTACCATGCTGTTTAAAACAGAGTGACTAAATGTCCTGTTTTTAAAAACAGTGCAATGAATTGTCATTAAATTCCCCCTGAAAGACAATCACATTCAGATGTTCCTTGGCACCAATTAGTTTCAATGCAGCCATTTCAAAGGCATTTCTTCTTCAAACAGCACGGTATGTTAGATGAAGTTATGTGGCTATTGGATTGGAACTCACGTACTGCATGAAGGTGAGGGTCCACAATACTACTGGGAAGTATTTAGCAGCAAGTGCTAAATCACAGTTCAGTGAGGTCACATAATCAAATTCCAGATTATCCCTTTTATTACGTTTGAGTAATAAATCTTTGGAAACTAGAGTCTGACAAGTTCATCACAGCATTTTAACTTTTCAGTGGTGCATGCAGAATACATATACATATAGAATCCTACAAAAGAAAAAAAAAAAAGCAGCAAGGCCAGAGTAAGAACGGAACAAAAAGTAGTCTTAATGTCAGATGCCACCAGACTGAAAAGTTGCACTGAAAGATGTGCCTCCGTTTTTAATTTGAACCTTCTCAACTGAAGTAGAGCAGTTTATCATTTAGTTCCAGTGAACAGATTTGCACATCAGACGTTTCACTGCATTATGGATGGGACAACGTTTAATATGTTTTCACTGCAGTTCCATAGGTCACCGGCATGGGCATAAGCCAAGACCATACAGTTAAGATTATTGCAACATAGCTATCGGTCATGCAGCTAGCTCTATGGTAACCAACAGCATTTAATGCTTAGATGATATGGTTTCATTATCACAAACTAAATTAAAGAGCCCTTCCCTCTATAGAGACAATCCAAGCAAAAGTCCGCACCATTACACCAGGCTGTTAATTGAACTTTTTTCCACCGGGATTCAGAAGGAGGAGGGGGTTAAGGGAACTCACTGACATAGCAACATGGCTGAAGGCAAACCTATGCTGCACAAGACTTACCATCATCCAGGTACATCTGGTCCAATTCCTCAGGTTCTCGCTTGATCGTTACAGGAATAGGGGCCAAATTATGATTACTTTCCTCATGCAACTCTGGCAATGACAGTGGTTGGGTTGTTGGAGACTCATTTCTGTGAACCTTCGGCAGTTGCTGCTGCTGTTGACCCATTATGGATGAGTGAGTTGGACTGCAGGACTGCAAATAGGTTGGCTCTTGGGTAACAGATGGAACTGGAGAAGAGGGACTGTTGGGATAGAGTGTTTGTTGATAACCAAGGGGACAGCTACTGCTCAGATGTTGACTCACCTGCGGCTGCAGCATGATGTGAGATGATTGCTCGGGGGAGCTTGGGTGCACAACTATAGACCTTGGCACTTCCTGTATGGTGGGGACACCTCCAGCGGGCTGCTGAAGTCCGAGGTGACTGTGGCCCAGGTTGGGGATGCACTTGTAAGGAGAGGACGAAAGGTCGTGCAGCTTGGGGCTTGCGTTGGGAGAGGGCGACATCACGGCGTTCCTCTGCTGACAGGAGGCAAAGCCAGCCACGAGGCACGAACCAGGATCAGGGGGCATCATGATCTGCTGGCTGTAGTATGGTTTAGAGAGAGGGTTTAAGCCTTGGTTCATTGGTCCACAGGTTTGAGCAGGCTCATAGTCATCTGTGGGTTCTGTTTTTATAATTGGAACTGTTAAAAGAAAAAAGTTTTAAATAAACATGAGTTGCGTATTGGTATGATCAAGTTGGCTTGTGGCTAGGATACCCTTTGCAAAACAAACAACGTCTTGAATAAGACTCTGTGTGTCTTTTGCCTAGTTCTCCCACCCTATAAAAAAAAATGAATGAGTCATCAGCACAAGAAAGTCACAGCTGGTTCTAATATTGAAAAGGACTATTTTCTTTGGACTCTCCTCCAGCACTAATGTGCTATAAAAATCTATTTGCAAATAGCTGTGCTTCAGTGGAAGCTTTGGACCCAAGGGCTCCATGGATTTGTAGTAATCAAAGCAAGAATTTTAACTTGGATATACTACTGCATTTCTACGGCTACTGATGGCCCATTTGATAAATGTCTGCACGTTCGGTAAACTGGAGCACAACAAGGTAGAGATGGGGCTTTCAGAGTTCAGTGAAAGCAAAATTGCAAAGATACACGACAAACTGCTATGTACAAGAAGTTTTCAATTATGAGGGTATTTTTGAAAGAGCAGGATTTGATTTATTTAGTTTCTACATGATTGTGTTTAATCGTACTAACCAACCAATGGGTGTAAAATATTCAGTAAGTTGCATCCAGCTCTCAGCGATTCTAAGTTGGATCCAAACTGCTAATGCCAGCTCCTAACAAATGTTAACTCAGTCTCTGGCTACCGAGAAAAACTGACTCCTATTCTAGACCTCTCCTGCTCTGCCCATTGTCCCAAAAGAGGCTCTAACTGACCTGTCAAGCCATGTCTCTGCATACCATCAGCACATGGACAGAACGACTGCCTATCAGCATCAACTCAGTCATGACAAATGTAGAGCTGCTTTCTCAAAACAGAGAAGAGAGCCTTCCTCAACGTGCCTTTTTCACATCGGCTTTTTCTCTCCGATCAGAAAGAGGTGCCTTTGCTGCTCCTCCTACAACATATCCAGTGCACAGATAAAAGACACCCACTTTCCCTATCAGGAAAATTATAAATAATAGGGCCAAGCTAGTCCGTAGATGTATTTTTTCTAGCCAGATGCAACTCTAATGCATACAATTGAGTACGGATGCACAGTGGCATTTATCTTCTTTCCCCAAAAAAGAGATCCACAGGAATAGCCGTCGCCTGAAAAATTTCGCTTGGAAATTTACAGCAACACCAGGGAATATCTTTCAGAGTATTAGAATAACTGACCTGTTGTGGCACAAAGTTAGTAATGAAACATCCCTGCACAACTCAGAGCCCATGTGTGCTGCGTGAGTGTCTCTCAGGGTATGTTTATTTGCGTATGTTTTACAAACACCCTTATACATTCTCCAGCCATTTACTAGGTTCGCGTACAAGTCTTTCAAACCCCTAAAACTGCACACGTGTGCACGCGCACATATAAAACCTCTTTTAACACTCACAAGTTTTGCTGCTGGTGATGCACTTCGGTACCCTTGTTTTACACTCCCCTAGCCCGTTGTTAACTTGGCTCCTTTCATGTTCTTTTACACCTAGATGCTTGCAACACTTGTTTCAAGATTTCTCGCACCCCCAGTAAAAACATGTCTATAGATGTAACGGACGCACAGGTGCTGCTCAAGACGAATGTGCTAAGGATAATGGACTGTCATTGGATTCCTCATAATCTTATTTTCACCTGCTGGTGTGCTGCACACTGGCTAGCAGGGCTGCTAACGCACTTGGTTGCAGAGAAGCAGATTCCAGGTTCAGTGACAGCTTTATAAAACCAGTATCACACCCTTTACGAAAGCGCAAGACCAAAGAAACACACCTAGATAAACATAGCAGCAAAGATATTGTAAGAAAATACCTTTAACAAGTTCCTGAGCTAGCAAATATTCTCACATGTTTTATGTTAGTTTCACTGTACCAGCACTAACCACAGCACAGCTGGAAATATGATGGTTGTTGAACACTGAATTTTCCCAATATATCACTGTTATAGAAACACCTGTGCTAAATAATTCCAAGCTCAACCACTGGCAATTCAACTCCAATAAACCCTGGAGTTGTCTGACTTGTTATAACCGAGGGAAGGGTTATAGCCCTGGTGGCAGGCAGGCTGGGGGCTCTAAAGAAGGCCGGTTCCTGATCTCAGTCTGATTTTTCCTTGTAGCTTTTCTATGGCACATCTTTGCTACTTGGTTTACCAGGCCATGAACACTGGGAGTCTGTTTTCACATGCTGCTGCCACAGCCCACACAGGATAACCAGTAAGTCCTGCTCTGTACTGGGCAAAGGACTGACAGGCAGAAGGGACTCTATTCCAGACCTGTTAGTCCAAAAGCTCTCTTGGAGATGGTAACAGCAACCAAGGACACTCCTGGCTGCCCATAAATTCAGAGTTCAGAGGGAAAACAGAGACTGCTGTTAATTACAGGAGCAGTCAGGCTAAGTCAGGGTAGCTGGTTTGCTGATGGCAGGTTGGTAGCCAGAGAGGGAAACAAGAAGGAGGGACATGAGATTAAGCAGGACCTCCATTTTATTTGACATTTGTTTACATTGTCCCCTTGCACTGCTCTGAACTGATGCTCCTGATGCAGTTATTTCATGGAATGGGAAACAAATTGTCTTTAAATGGACAGACACGACCTGCACTTAGGCTTAGACGTGTTTTTTCAACTCAATAAAAAGGTTCCCCCTTGCTAAGTTTCACGTATTTTGTTTGCAGGCTAGTCTCATAACTAGAATAGGCATCACACTGAAAGACAGGAAAATCATTAATGCTGAAATGATGAAGGGATTTGTATCTGACTTCTCAGGGCTTTGCCATTTGTACAGCCATTTAACGCTGTGCGGAGTGAACGTATGGATCTTACCAGGCTGGGGCGGCAGCAACCCACTCCCCTTTCAAAAAGTGTAAATGTCTTCACAGGGTACCAGGTTGGAGAAGGAAGCTCTGTAGGAATTTTTTTTTTCTTTTCTTTTCCCTGGAGAAACCATTACTAATGACCCAGATGACCTGGAATCAGACCTGCAAAGCTGAGTATGTCAGCAGAAATACAAGACATTAACACTTCCCTTTCTGTCTAGACCTCAACTTTTGTATTTTACATGAATAACTACATTACTTGACTTGTGGAGGACAGATATACCACAAATTGCTACATTACACCAGTTAACAGTTTATTTATGACACTCTATCCTGTATCTGCTTCTCCCCAGCCTACGTAACTTCACCAAATGGAGTAACAAAGGCCAAAAATCTTTGCTAATGTTTGCATTTCCAAACTCAGCTCAAACAAGCTGTGGGTCTGACCTCCCGGTCGTTCTGAAAATACTCTCCATGTGTCAAAAGCTGGTGTAAATCGCCTTATATTCTATCTGCAGAGGACTGCAGCGGGCCCAAGGCAGGAGCTGTGGGTATTTCAAGGCACACCTTCCAAAACCAACGCAGGAACAGCCTGTACCAGTGCTCACTGACTACCCACTTAACATCATGGTGCCTACGGCGTTGCTCAAACAAGTTAAAATACTTGCATGTAACAAGGCTACCGGTTCCTAACACACCCGACCCACTCTCCCATTGACCTTCGGGGGCCTGAGACCCTCAGCTTGGGCAGGCAGCTGCAGCGGCCTTAGAGCAGCTGAGGACACAAACCTCATGTGCCCACCTTCACCGCTTTCTCCCAGGAAGGAACCGAGCGGGTTCCTCCAGAGCAGCCAGGGCTGATCACCTGCCCGCCATGGACCAGCGTTACCGCTTACCTATTGCCTCGTGCTTGATTAACTGCAAATCACTACAGTTCCAAGCTAGAAAAAGGTGTATTCTCAAATACCCCCTGGGAAGGCACGGCAAGCTAGCTGCCGTAACACATAGCCATTGCCACCGTCGCTCACTTGCACATACACTCGAGTATTTCACACAGGGAGATGTGACGTGACACAGAGAGCACCGTCCGTGTTCTCAGGATTAATATTTTACACAGAACAGTATTAGCCTGACTAACTTCTAGCTCAAATTTTTCAAACCTAAAAATGACTTGGTAAAAACCTGCCAGCTGAAAGAGACGTTCCTGGTCACACCGCAGGCCTGGACTGGCGATTAACTGGAAAGCCCTACAACTGTTCAGAATCTGCAAGCACTTTTAGTAGAAACTGGACTATTTCTTAAATTCAATATTTTCAAATGGCAAGAAGGATTCTGTCTCAAAGCTGCTCCATGGTGCTGAGATAACACCAAGTCCTGCAGAGTCTCAGCTAGCTAGAATGAAAAATTGTGACTGAATTTGCCATACACAGAGATTTGCCAATAATAAACTGCAGCAATGAAGCCAGAATTTGTGAAACCATAAACAGAAAAGATGATGCCGTTTTTACATACACGCAGACTCAAAAGTAACGTTACTCGTTCAGGAGACCTCACTCTGCTGAAGGAGCACTGCCACAAAAAGGAAAAAATTAATGCAATTCGTATGGTGAATTTTTAAATCCTTGTTACTTCACAAGGCACTAGGTGGGCCGACAGACAATTTTAAATAGTCCTCGATTTTGAATATTAAAATATGACAGAGCTCACAGTACTAAATTAGTCTGATAAGCAACTTAATCTGTGCCAACTGGTCTTCAATGGTTCGATGATGCCTTCTTAGGCTTTGGACTCATGTCATTATGTCATCTAATTTAATACGAAGTTCTGAGAACCGTGCGTTGGCAGCAGCCCTGGCTGTAAATCAAAGCTTCTTACTCAGAGAGACCAGGGTTATGACATCATACCGAGGCACTGGGTGGAAGACAATGGTCCTTCTGTGTGGGTCTGAATCTGGGAGAAATATTTCAGCCAGTTCTGCAAGCCCACTTTTAAATGAAAGGCCTTTCTAGCAGGTAAAAAGTTAATATATCAAACCTTGAAGAAAAATAATAAATCATGCACATTCAGTAAAGGGAGTCAGAAAGTGCTTAAATATAAATTATATGTATTTTTTGACAATTCTAAGAAGTCTGTTTGCTTTTACACTTTAGCAATCCAGATGGGTTTTTAAACTTT